CAGCAAAAGAAATTTTATCTTGCTGAACTTCTCACTTATGAACAAATATCTTTTCAGCTATGAGTTGATATCTATTGTATTAATGTTCGTCTCAACATATAGTGCGCTCCACTGTTTTTTGAATAACTCAAGAACGCAATGAGCTAGCGACCTGCGCTTTCCACCAATCGAAAGAGGAGGAGTGGAGACTAGAGCCCATCGGGTTCAAGAATTTCTGGACCCGGACCCGACTGATTAAAAATTTTTGGACCCGGACCCGGTCGATCAAGATTTTCAGACTCGAACCTGATAGATCATTTTTATGACAAGTTAATCACATTTTATGAACCAAAAAATCTCATATTTTTTTATAAACAAATTAAGCTTTTTTGAATCAAACGATCGAAAATTTAAAGAAATTCGTAAAATTTTATTAAATGCATCAAAAGTTTTTTTGATTTGGTCCCAATGGGCAAAAAATTTCAGATCCGGACACGGTCAAATATAATTTTCAGACTCGGACCCGATGGGCTCTACCTACTACGCCGATTGGTCATACAAGTATTCAATCGAAAGGTTAATTAATTTAATCCAATTTATTGTGAAAAATTTGACTATATTTTCTTACCGAATTAAGCTATAGTTTTAGTAATTTTATGTACAAAAACAATAAAAGAATAATTTTTCATACTAGCAGGAATAATATGAATCAAATAATGTAACGGTACCATTCTGCTTTATTAATGACGCTTTTAATCATTTTTAATTTGATAGATGTACACGAAGAAAGCAACCAGTCAATGAGTTAGGCCAGTTCAGTCGTAGGCTGAAGATTCGGCCGATTATTATTACCCAAATTATCCTGGCAAACCTTTTCTATAAGAACTTGATTTTTATTGGCTACTGCTCAACCAGTAAGATTTACAGACGAATACAGCTCAGATTTGAACTCTTCACCTTCATTTACCCTAAAAAAGGCGTTTTTTCTATAACTTGATTTCTATTGGTTACTGTTCGACCAATAGGATTTCGAGGCAAATGGAGTTCAGATTCGGGTTCTCCGTCCCAGAAAACCTAGAAGTATCATCTCTGTGATCGAAAGACAGCCCTAATTGTGGACCAATTAGAGCGTAGACAAAAACAGAACCAATGTCTGTTTAATTATCTTTGCAATAGACGAGTTAGCCTTCTTGTTTCTTTATGTTTCATATATCATTTTGTAGATCGTGAAATTCTCTATCGAATGGTATATAATAGTTGGAGTTTTCTTTGATTATGATAGTAAAAGTCTTTTACGAAAGTGAGGATAGGTCGATTTTCCTATAGGAAGTCATAGGGAAAAATGACTATTTTTGCAATAACTCAGGGACAGCTTGGCCAATCATGCTCATCTTCGAATTTGACCGAGATATTGTTAAGACTGAACTATGTAGAAAATTTCATCGCAATCGGACTCTCCTTTCAAAAGTTATCGTGTAAACGGACGGACGCACGGACACACTAACCGATTCTAGAGTGTACTCACTTTTTGAGTGCACAAAAATAAACTTTTATTAGACTCATCTTTTTATTTTTGATTCATGTGTTGATAAACACGAGAGCTTGTTGGGTGACATACCATTTTCCATACTAAGATCAATTTGCTTTTATTGACAAATTTAAAATAAATATAAAAAAATTCCTTTCCTTCGAGAAAAGAGAAATTTCAATTGAAATAACTAAACAATTAGAATATGAAATAATTATTTTAAATAAAAATGAATTTTGAGAAGATTATATGATTAAAATATCTAAATAGAAATATATTTATTTAGATAAGATGATAAATAAATTTGAAAATCTTTCAAATGAAATTCTTCTTTTTATATTATCGAATTTAAAATGGTTTGAAATAATAGAATTATTTTAGTTATTAAATCAACGAATTAGTTCACTTATTTGTTCAATATTTTCAATGAATTATGATGGAAATAAAAATGGAATTCGAATTAATGAAACAGATTTATCTTTAAATAAACTTCAATTAATATTGTCATCAATTGTTTCAAATTCATCTCTTTCTGCTTCTATACAACAAATTCATATTGATGGATCAAAATCAAGTTTTTTTTTTTAAATATTATATCTCAATGGATTTTTCAAAACAAAAAATTATTCATTTTGTTAATTTAAAGTCAATTATTCTTATTCGATGTTATCTATCAAATATCTTAATTAACAATTTATCTTTACTTGTTCAATATCAATTAGATCATTTTATATAAACACTTAATGAATGTACTAATGAGATGCTTTACTATATCGACCAGTCTACTGTCAATGATCACAATCATGATAATTTTTAGCGTCTTGTAAAAAAAAAACAGACAAGTTCATCGAAAGAATCTTTAATATATAAATATAGAACATTCAATGAAATGAATGATTTGAGAATTGAAATTTTTATATATTTATTGAAAGACTAATAAATAAATGTTGTTTATTTAAATAACATAGATAAAAAATGTTCGAGACATGTGCAAACAGTTCATAGGAGAATTATTTTCTTCTAAATTTCAATTAACTTTGCTTCGACTTGATATAACAAATGATGATTGTGATGATCAAATTCATAAATATTTTTCACCATTTATTATTATTCAAATCAAATTGATAATAAATCTATTAAGAATTGTATGACGCTTCTTTATATACACATTAATATTATATTTAGTTGTTTTATTGAACATATTGTTGAAAATTTATCCAATCTTAAAAACCTTTTAGTTGTATTTAGAAGTACAATATCGGGTGTGGGTGTGGGTGTGGGTGTGTGGGTGTGGGTGTGGGTGTGGGTGTGGGTGTGGGTGTGTGGGTGTGGGTATGGGTGTGTGTGTGGGTGTGGGTGTCGGGGGTGGGTGTACGTGTGAGTTCTTCTTGAACAATTACCCACACCCACACCCACACCCACCCCACACCCCAAACACACCCACACTCGGCGAGGAATATTTTTCGCTGTTTGCAAGAAGTCTATGCTACATTGGAATCTGCTCTTAACATCACATAAAGCACCCAAGGAGACCGAGTAAACCTTGATTGACGCCTATATTTTCTCTTCTCTCCTTTTCGCCGAACGTTGGTGTGTTTGCATGTAAGAAGTATAATGCACACTCGGAGAGTGACGCTGTTTGTTGACTGTCGACCATTCTTTTCTTCAGCTTACAAAAGCCAATCAGAAATGAAGAATGTCGCAAAGTGACAATGCAATAACGTGTGTCGTAGCGTTGCCTCAGTGTTGTCGATGTTATTACAAAAGCAACTTTTTCAAGTTTTGCTGTAGACAATGTCTTTTTCGATGTGGATGTATAATTAGAGTAAGCTTGAAGCTAGCGTTCACATCGTGTGTATAAAAAATCTCTACAATTGTATAGAAAGGAACTACAAGTAACTTTTATTTTTGCAGGAGTCGTGGCCTAATCGTTTATAGTACTCTGACCTGAGCACCTGTTTAGAAGTTTGAGGGAAGAATAGGGCGTGATTCACCATAATAAGCGAGGGGCAATCTTGAAAATTCGATCCGAATGTCTGCTTTATTGTCTCCTAATGCGTTAGTATTTATGCAAGAAAACTATTATAGTATAATTATGTATTTTCATTTCAGATGCAGATATGTTACACAATATGCCACTGATGTGATAATCTGATTTATTTTTCTACAGGGAAAAGGCTACACTTTTGCATGACACACCTAAGCAACATTCTTCTTGTTTGTCGACAAATAACTAAAAGCTTTATCATGACAACCACGTGTTGGAGCATAGATAGAAAAGTTTCTTTTCTTGCGTACAAAAGGAACAATAAAATAGAAAATCTCAGTCCATGCACCATCGATACTTTATTTTTCTCGTTTGTTGTATAACATGAATATGAAAGCAGAATTGCTATTATTTTAGATGGAGTCCTGTAAATGTCCAATCACCGATGAGATCTTTGAGGACCCGGTCGTAGGTGATGATGGTCATACTTATGAACGAAAAGCAGTCACAGAATGGTTAGCAAAGAGCGGAACAAGTCCAATCACAAGACAACCGATGAGTGTGAACACATTAAGGACGAACTATACCGTGAAAAAAATGATTGAAGAACTAAAATCCACAGCAGCATCGCAACAATCATTCTATCAATTTCAACTTGATGTTGATATCCGAAAAACGAGACCTAGACCTTTATTTCAAGGCTTTGGAAAATCAATTTATGAAGTAGAATGGATCAATCGCAAGGGTCCACCTATTATTTTGCTTAAAATCGATGGAGCCAAAGCCAATCGAGAAGCATCCTTTTATGTGCAACTTAGCTGTCACCCTCATATCGTTCGGACATTTGGTCTTGTTCAGTGTAATCCTGGTTCAGTGATGGTGCTTCAAGAATGTGCTCCATATGGAGACCTTTCCGAACAACTCCGAGAAAACAGTTTCAAACCATCACAACGGATTTTATGGAAAATATTTGAACAGATATGTGATGCCATGGTTTGTCTAGCAGACAACGGTATTGTACATGGAGATTTAGCCTGTCGAAATGTACTAGTCTTTAAATGTAACTCAAAAGAGCCAAAAGACAACCTTGTGAAATTAACAGATTTTGGCTTGACGCGTGCAAGTAAAATGTTTTCAATGGTGGATTCTCCAGCCGCGACAACCATGAAAACCATACCAACTCGATATGCTGCTCCAGAAATTCTTCGCGATTCAACTAGTTTTCCGTATTCTGAGAAATCAGATGTTTATTCGATGGGTGTTTTGATGTGGGAAGCATGTTCTTATGGTGAATTACCTTATTCCTCGATAGAACAAGATGAAACTATTCGATACCAAAAACTCAATAACCAGAGACTTCCTAAGCCACCCTTATGTAGTCCTCAGCTCTGGATATTAATGAATCAGTGTTGGCAACAGGACCCATCAAATCGCCCGGCTTTTAGCCTCTTACGAGAATCATTAATAAACCTTAGCGCAGTGTCAATTCGCAAGTACGTGTAACTATACCTCGCAAAACCCAGCAAATCATTAATATAATTCTAGTCCTCAACAATCATCATCTTCAGAAATGACCAAAGACACAAGCATCCGTTCGATTAATTACCTATATGTGCCCCACACCCCGATCTTTTTTTTCTAGACATATCAACGAACTACCACCAAGAAAACAGCAAAGACAATGCTCAGATTCCTTGCGAACTCTGTGAAAAGCTAATTAATTTCAGCGATTGGATCCGACACACAGTAAGCACTAGCCATGCTCTAATTACAGGTAATCAGCTCTTTTGCAGAAAACTTGCAGCAACGAAGAGACAAGCCACCAAAAAAACAAGTACAGTTCAGTAATTCCTCTCTATTAATACCGGCGATGGGTTTCCTTTCGCTTAGAGTCACCAGGGAACAAAACACGATCAGAAACACCAACAGCCTAAATGAGCCACTCTTTGCCGGGAACGAAAGACCTAAACCGAATAAGGTTCACCATTTTCATTTATATATTCAACGATGAACTCGTCCTCATTCACAACAGGCTGACTACACCGAAAACAACTACGATACCGAAGCTGACCAACATCCAGACACAGACCACGGCAAGATCATCAACATAAAACCAGAAAACCACGACACCATGTGGAAAACCACCGAGATATGTACAGCCTTAAATACCTGCAGCCCATAAGTAAACAACGCAAAACTCAAAACATATATACCAGTGAAAGACGAACGTTCATTGAACAGAGTGTAATTCTAGTGCCAACCAACCGAATGCTCTAGGCCTGTCACGTACCTCGTCCGAATCCGAATATGAACCCGTCAAAACGAGCATTCACGACACGTTCCGTAGCACGTCTCAGCGTGAATTTGAAGCCACTGAAAGGAACATCCAACAATCGGCCCAAAGTTCGTCTGAACGTGAATATCTACCACTGCAACGAAGCGTTCAGCAGCCTTCCCCCAGCTACGCCCACCGTGAACATGAACCACTTGAACAAAGTATTCAGCAGTCGTCGCGTAGCTTATACGAACGTGAATATCTACCTGTGGAACGAACCATCGAGAACTCTTCTCGTAACTCATCTGAACGTCAATATGTGCCTGTGGAACGCACTATCGAGAACTCTCCTCGTAACTCATCTGAGCGTGAATATGTACTTGTGGGACGAACCATCGAGAAGTCTTCTCGTAACTCATCTGAACGTGAATATGTTCCTCTGAAACGAACTATCGAGAAGCCCTCTCGTAACTTGTCTGAACGTGAATATGTACCTGTGGAACGAACTATCGAGAAGTCGCCTCATAAGTTATCTGAACGCCAATATG